CCCGGCGCTGAGCCGGGGCAAGCCAGGCGCGGGTCGCCCGGGAAGGCGGCTTCTCCCGTGCCGCCATCCCGCCGCCCGGGTGCCAAGCCTGGAAGAGGGAGGGCTGCGGAGGCTCGCGGGGGGGTCGACCGAAGGAGCAGCTCCTTCGGCCCCGAGGCTTCTAGCGGGGGCAGCCTCCGCCCTCGGCGCCCGCCTGCCGCTGGGGAAGCGGCAGCGCCGGGAGGTGGAAAACCGCCTCCCGGCCAGAAAGAGACCCGCCTCGAGCCTCGTCTGCGCCTCCAGCGTCGACCTCCGAGGCGTTCTGAGAAAGCGGGGAAACGAGCGGGCTGCAGCCCCAGCTTCTTTGGGAAAGGGGCCCGCTTTTCCGCAGGGAGTCAAAAAAGTCAAGATGGCGGCTGAAACCTCACAACCAGAGCCCGCCTCTCTTTCATGCGCCTCTCTTTTACGCACAACACTTCCAACGTGGTGCAGTCGTGGCTGCCCTCGTGACTCGTGTTGACACCCGTGGCCCACTTGCCCAGACCACAGACCAAGATCGAGAGAGGGCTTGTCCTTTAAGTCTCGGAGTAACAAAGGGATCTCGCGCCCCTCCATAGCAAGCAATCCAGATCAACGCTTTCTGTGGGCTGCCGTGGGTAGATGTTTCTGTTTTGGGTTTGTTCTTGTCCGTGTGCTGGTCCTTGGCCCACTCGATTGACCGAGGTAGGAGCTAAAGGACCACCTCCTTCTCCAGGAATGGCCGGGCTGGCCGGATTGCTCCAGGCCTTGAATCGCAAGTCGCCCCCAGCAGGAACGTGCTCTAAATGGATCTAGATGGTTGGACTCGTTGACTAGCTGAGAGCTCATTCAGCGTGTTGTGTGAACCCACAAAGTTGGGTCTGTTCTTCAGGTTTGGGTCTTGTGGAAACACCACCAGAGTCAGATGGCTTCAGGTTTCCAGTGTAGCAGTAAGGGTTGGTGACCTCTCTGGGAGTTGTTGGAGGCCTCTGGTTGTTAAATTGTTTGAAAACGTGGTTGATTGGGAAGAGGCTTACTTGGAACAAGGGCATCCTGCTTTCTGTTCTAGATGTGAGAATGATAGATGGTTCGTTCTGGGTTTGACCTTCTGCTTTGTACCATGGAATCGTGTATCCGGTCTTACCTCGGCTTTGCTTTGAGGCTGCCTTTCAAAAAATCATTTTCCCCTCTCATCAAACTCCGTATCCCAAATGGCAACTGAACACCCAAGAAAAATTGGGGAGGATTCTGTTCTGTACTTTACTGCATTTGGATGCCATTGAAGCTCATTTGTTTCTCTGAAAGAGACGAGATAGCTTTTGAGTCATGAGAAAAGTGGAGCTAGACTGATGTCCTCAACTAAGTTCTCGTAGAATTTTCCACGCTCCCTGAAACTTTCTGCACCGTCTGCTTGTGCCCTTCCAGCATTAATCATCTGGGGAGACTACCTAACCTGTACACAAAGTGATTTTTCTGGCTGGAGAAATCTCCCTCCAGGTGGAGGCAGGAAACCATCAGAGAAGGGTCCGGATCCTACACAGGGACAGAATTTATATGCAGTTTATCTAAGTTATGTCTGGCCAGGTGTGGGTGGTCCCAGATATGACATCTCCCATGTCATCCAACCTGGATTCCTGGTGATTTGTGATGGAGTTTTCCCTCGCTAGGACTAGCAGAAGCAAAATACATTTCACAGAATAAGCCAATACTTGCAGATAGGGCTCGTGTAGCGGATGCCAAGTTATCTTTTCATGTTCCTTAAGTCTCCTTTTCGTAGTGTAGCAAAGGGTTGGGATTGCCTGAGAGTGCGTCTCTCTGAAATCTTGTCTCTGCATGCCTCTGGTCTGGTTCCCTGAGTTATCATGGGTGGGGCTGCCCTGTTTCCAGGCTGCTGAGACACTGAATGTCAGTCGGAGACCAGAATAGAAACTGGGGCTTAGTTGAATGGATGATGGTGGCGAACTAAACCCAGATAACTCACACTGAACCTGTTCTGGCAGCTGGTTGCGAGAGTGGGAAACAACTGATTTATGGGAAAGAGAGATGTAGGTGGAACAGGAAGCATTGCTGCGTACGATGGGATAGAGCTGTTCTCTTCTGAGATGCACGAGTTGCAACAGCTCCTGTTTGGGGGATGTGCACAGTCCTTGCCTTGGCCAACTTGCTGTTGAAGGTGTGTTGGCATGCAACTTCTGTGTGGCTCTACACAGCTAGAGGAAGTGTTACCTCTAGGTCTAGATTGCACAACGTGAGTCTTGAGGATTGGCCTACTTTTATCCCCTTCTCAGACAGTTTTCAAGTATAATCTGTGAAGGCATTTGGTGCACACCATATTTGTCTTCCATCTGGGAGAAAAGGAAGAGACTCAGCAGGGTAGCCCCACCTGACTTGGGCAGTTGGTCTCAGCAGATTCTCCCAGGGAAGGTGGACCTCAGCAGAAAACAGCTGCCCTCTGCTGATGGAGAAGAATCCAGGCTTTCGCCTGTTTCTTCTTTTCATTTTTAGAGGCACCTGAAGTCTCCAAAATGCAAGACTGCATCATTTGGTGCAAAGTGGGCAAGTGCAGAGGGATCAGGGGTCTTGGATGGGATGCTTGATTTTGGTCTGTGTGGTGGGAGGTCAGACTGAAGATGGGCCTGGAATGCCTCCGGGAGGCTCCCTGCCATTTGCAGCCTGAAGATCCTCCTCTCCCCAAAAATTATGGGAAGCAGCCCACAATCGCACCACTGGAATTCAGCTATTTGGCCACCCATTTTCTGCAGCACAGTCTCGGGAAGAGAACAAGCAGGGCGCTGGGAGCAGATGTGGATCAGAGATGCCCTTTTGTGACGTTGTGATTTCATTGGGCAGTTGATGTCCTCAGCTATGTTTCTGTCTCTGCGTCTCTCTGCATCAGAATTTGGGGGGTTCCTTTAGAAGCCTGACAGGTCTTTCTCAGAAAGGTTGCTTTGAGGGACCTGCTCTGGATTGTTTTCCTGTAGTTGACAGCTTTAGTATAGTCTGCTTCAGCCGTTGTGCTGTCTGAACCCCAAATCTTTCATGTCCTCGGTGGAAGAAGATGTTAGAAGAAAGTCAGAAGATGCTACCGTGCTAGTTCCAGGTTCATAGACTCTTGGACAGTCCTGGCAATTTTGCCGAAGAGGCAGGGGAAAGAAGGAAGAAGTGGGTGCTTGAAGGAGAACAGTGACTCAGAGTGGTGTATAACAACAACAAGCAATAAACCTGGCTGGGGAATTCTGGGAATTGAAGTCCACTCATCTTAAAGTCGCTAAGGTTGAGAAACACTGCCTTAAACATACAATATATAAATATGAAATACAAAATATAAAATGGTAGCCAAGCACCATAACACAAGAACCAAAAGGAGACCCCACTCAGTAGATGCCTGGTAACATTTGATCTTTGGCCCTCTCCCCCACTTTACCTCCAGTCAAATATGTGCAGAGTGGTGTATAACAACAACAAGCAATAAACCTGGCTGGGGAATTCTGGGAATTGAAGTCCACTCATCTTAAAGTCGCTAAGGTTGAGAAACACTGCCTTAAACATACAATATATAAATATGAAATACAAAATATAAAATGGTAGCCAAGCACCATAACACAAGAACCAAAAGGAGACCCCACTCAGTAGATGCCTGGTAACATTTGATCTTTGGCCCTCTCCCCCACTTTACCTCCAGTCAAATATGTGCTTTAAAATACTAAATGTTTTCATTTTTAATAGAACGACATGTTTGTTTAATAAAGCAACAAACTGGTGTAGATTTGGGGGAAACTGGGTGGCTTAAATTGATTAGGTTCTTAAAGGGTTTGATCTACCCTTAATCAGCAGAGTTTTA